CTTACATTATTTATTTATTTATTTTTTGCAGTTTTCTAGTACTATCTGTTTTACACTGACCTGATTAAAAGTGCTTGTTTAAATTTATTTTTCAATATTTACTTCAATTCTCATATCAAGAGAATTATCAATTCCTAGAAAGTTTAAAATAATTTCCATATAAAGCCTACCTAGTGCCAACTCTTCTATGGAGTTGTTTTATAATTGTTTTCATTTTTTTCTTTATTTAGTCAGTTTGGGCAGTTTAGAACTTAAAAGGTCTTTCCTGAGTTAGTCGTACCAGAGTTGTCTCACTTGGATTCCTACTCCAATTAAAAAAAAAAAAAAGGAAAAAATGCACACAGAGGCATTACACATCAACAAAAAGCACTATTTTTCAGCTCTACTACATTTCAGTAACATCACCATCCTCTCTTGCCCTTGAGTCTTCACACTTGTTCCCTTATAAAAACACTTTTTCTCCTCTGTGCCTGGTTAGCAATTATGTACTATTGAGATGTGCTACACAACACCTTCTATTTCCCCTTTCATAAGACTTATATTAGGTTACTGATTTTATTAAATTCTATCATAACAGAGTATCTCTCTATTATATGCCCAGCTGATGAATGAGATCATTGCTACATAAATTTCTCTTCTAGTAGGTGCATTTAACCTATTCCATTTGTAATACTAGTTCTATTAGAGTTTCGTAATGTTATCTTTGCCTTCTTTTTTTGGTGTCTTTTTTTCCCCCCAATTTGGCCATACACAGAATGTTTTGTGTCTTGGAGAATGAATATATATATATTCATTCTGTGCGCATGCTGGGTATATGTATAAGTATATAAATATGTACATACATACATACATACATATATATGTGTATATATATATGTGTGTATATACGTATATGTGTAATATATACACATATGTATGTATGTATGTATTCATATATATATAATCTATTTTAAATTCTACCAGTGGATAGTTAAAGCTTAATTATTTTTTTCAAATCTTTAAATGTTTATCAAAGTTTAAAAATCAGTAAGAAAACATTTTTAATTCCTGTCTGTGGAAGAGAAAGAATTTTGCACTTCTATTTCCCAGTCCCAGTTCCCCATCTTTCTCTTGTCTAGTTTCCTTTTTATTTACAATAAAAATTTGTAAATAAAAATTGTAAATAAAAATTTCCTTTTTATTTACAATAGATGATCACTTTTACATTTATATTTGTAACATTCATAGTTTTACATTTTATAGTTTATATTTCAAAACCAGCCAGGGCTCCTCAGGGAGGCAAGACAGCCCTCCTGCAGGAAAGATAATAGCTGTCTCCATATGTAATCCTTATGAGTGGGAGGTGGGGCAGGTGTGGGGGTTAAATCAATTTTTACATTTTTTATATCTGTATTTGCAAACAACGTAGTAAGTTAGACTTCCCTCTAACAATTTAATACTCATTGCTAGTCCTTTTAAGTCTCAATATCTACGCTTGGATTAATTTTGATCTATTTTCAGCATTCTCTATACTTTGGGTACTATGTTAACATACTACTTTTATATAATTTAAATGTTAACTTTAGAAATAAATTTAACATTAAACAGCTGAGAGTTCTAGAGTCAATTTTTTTTCACTTAAAGTATTGTCAGAGATATATGACTTTTAAATTTTTATTTCTTGCTTGGATGCTCACACTACTTATCTTTCCAATTTACAAGTGACCCAGTATGTCTGGGTTCGAGTATCTGTTTATGAATACCATCTGGGTGGAACACTATAAATTTTCTCATTTCTAAAATTCATATATTTTTAAGAAAAATGATTAATAAATGATTAATAACTTTAATCACTGCTTTATTCCAATTATTTATTTGATAACATCAATTATAGAAATATTGGGTCTCCCTAATATCCCCTCTGTAAATTCACGGCCTCCAATCTCAATTGGGCCACACGTTTTTTTGCTCCATGTTATTCCAAAACTCCTCTACCCTTATCAAACCTATGAATTCAGCAAACTATGGCACAGGGAGCAATTCCAGCCCACTGTGTGCTTTTTTAAATAGCTCTAATGGCACACAGCCACATTCATTTATGTACGTACGGCTACTTTCTGCTACGATACCATAGTAAACAGGTAAAATATTTACCAAGTCTTTTATGAAGTCAGTTTGCTGAACCTTGCTCTAATCTATCACCCATCCCTCTTTAAAAGACATAAAATATCAACTTTCAGGCAAAAAAAAAATATAT